GTGATTACAAAACCTTGTCGAAACGTAATTCTAAACTTTATACGTTATTTTGAATAGCGAAATAATTTTCTCCATTTGAACTAAATAAACGCTTAAACTATTAATATTTTTTCTTCAAACACTACAACTTGTATATGAACATAGTGGTTTTCTGATTGTTTTATTTTTATGATTTTTATGGTTTATCCATTTTGGGTTTTGTTAATGTTTTTACAATGGCAACTCAACCTCAATGGATCTTTTATTTGCTTTTACCAGGAATGTTTCTATTATATTTACTAAAGATCCCTTTACTAACCTTTTTAAAGCGAACTTTATATTTTGTTGAGCAAGACGTAACATTCACTTCAAGTTAATCTATTATTTATGAAATACTTGTAATTGTATAAATAGCAAGCAAAGATTAAGTAAAACGAAAAAAAAATGCAGCAGTATGTTAATTTAATGTTTTTCTTTAAAAATAATTAGCTTTGTAACTGTTCTCATAAAACTTCCAAACAAATGCTTTCGTAATTTGGTTATGTAGCAGTGTGCACATCACAATAGAGTAATTCATCTTATAAACGTGAATGTATATATATCGCGAGATTCGTCATGCTGAAAAAATTAAGCCTCATAGATTTATAACTATGTATATAAGCATTATGAAAAGAATAATATGCCACGCATGACTTCAAAAAAGGGCTTCATTAATATCTACTTAAATGATAAAAAAAACATTTGTTTAATTGCAAAGGCGGACCTTAGTCAACATACACTTTTATAATGCTTATACATCAAAGTAGCACGTATTCAAATTACTTTCTGAGTTATCAATCTTTTCTTTTTTAAGTTTGTACGATTTATAGTGGGCTGCAGAATATGTCCGCTCTTTACTGTTTCTTCTCTATTTACTTCTTTGGTACAGAGTGTTGAGTACGTCATATTAAAACGATTTTGAATATGCAAATCACCAAGTCTAGTGACAACTACAGCCAATGTAAAGTTGCGGTGGAAAGGAATGTATTAGAACTACATTTTGACATTCTTTGGCGTTTTGTAGGTAGTGTTATATCACCGAAAACTGACCACTTTTAGGAAGGATATGTAACACTCCTCTCCGATGCAACAATAATCATACACTCAGATCATAAAGATGTGCTCAGATCTGGTACTTAGAATTTCTGAGGGGGTGATATCTCTTGAACTTAATGACACTGGAAAACAAAGAAATGTGTTTCAACTTGGGGTACCAGGGCCATAATTAAGTGGGGCATTTTGTATAAAGTGAGAATCCACAAACATAAAAGTTAGAGGCAAAATCATTCACGTGTCCAAGTCAAATGTATGCAACGTAATAAAAAAATAATTACGTCTGGAAAAAGAGTGACATGTATAAAAAGTGCTTCCACCAACCTGTTCAACCTTTGCATATCTAAAGTAGTTGGAGAATGAAAAGGTTATTCATTACTATAAAGAAAACATACTGTTGAGTCGCCAAATACAACGCCTATGGATTTTTGTGCGATAGAAATTTTAAAACGGGAGCTGGAAACCGTCGACCTCGTATACTAGATGGATTATGGAAAGCAACGGGGAGAAATTATATGCTTTGGACATTACAATTTTACGACAAAGCTTTTTGCAATAGAAGCTATACTTCAATGCAATTGTCAAGATGCATAGTCGTCAGATAGAGCATGATCGGACGTTGTGCAACATGGACTGCAACGATGTGGGGAGACTTTTAAATCTTCATATAACGCACTCAGTCTCAGTAAAATTACTTTATATGGGATCGACTTTATTAAACGATAAAAAGTAGGAGGTGTTTTATTTTATTCACTAACCTATCTTTTAAGTACCGTACTTGAATATGTGTGAATATTCGTCTGGAATACATTCCAGTGTGGTGGTGGGGGGGAGAAGAATTATAAAGTAATTTGTAAATTAATACAAAACAGCTATCACTGAAAATAAACCTAAATCTTTCAGTTTCACTGCTTATGGCTATGGCTCGTATTGTCCTTGTTGTGTTTCTCTGTCTATTTTTGTCTATATTTCTTAAACCTTCATCATCTGTAAGTTCAAGATATCTTCAAGGGATAACAATCGCTCTGGCAACATGTGTTTTTTTTTCAATCTAATCGTTTCTGGTTTAAATGGTTTATGAGGTTACAAATAGGTCCACCATTAGGATAATTACAGATCATAAGGCTTGTACATTATGTTATAATGAGTATATGATTGGTTTATGAATATTATTATTTTTATATTGAAATATTGTTTGGTGCAATATTCTCAAGATACACGAGATTTGAGAAGCAAATATTTCAGTTTTAAATTAATACATAACAATTAAAAGCGTTAAAATAATCCTTAACTTCTACTTCTACATTTTAAGTATTATTACAACAATTGGAAAACAAGTGTTTAGTAGAACTTTGCTGCTGTTGTGGTTTTAGCACAAAGCTACATAATGGGCTATTTGTGCTTTGTCTTTCAAGTAAAACCGAACTCTGGATTTTAGTCTTGTAAGTATGTACATTTCCGCTGACACATCTTGCATTAGTTCTATCAATATAGATTGTTTTTCTATAATAAAGATTATGATCAGCGACATTTCCTATAATATAAACTTTTTAATACTTTTATGCATTGTAGTCGAAATATTTAACACAATCAAAGATTAATTAATAAGTAGTAACATCTAGTTATCACTTCAAATATGACATCTTATATATAAACTGGCTTATCAACATCCGTGAACATTAGTGATATAGTGAGCTGTCATAACTTATGGATTAACTAGCTGTAGTACCCGTCCCCTCAACGGAAGTTATGTAAATTAATAATTAAAGAAAGGTTATCTTAGCACATGAAAAGCTGCTTCCCTTATGTGTCATTGTAAAAAAACACAAAAATGCCCATAAACACTGCAAAACACAGAATGTGAAATCGCAACTTTGCATATATCTCCGCATGGACTCAATGAAACTTCATGCCAAATTGGTGAATCTCCATCAACAGGGGACGAAGTAGTAGTAAAGAAACGCAAAAACGCTCATAAAAACCGCAAAACTGAAATTTCGTTTGTATCTCCCCATGGACCCATTAAACATTCATGCCAAATTCGGTGAAGATCCGTCAAAAGGAGTCGAAATACTGGTAAAAAAATGCCCATAAAAAACGCAAAATGCAAAACTGAAAATTTGTATGTACCCCCACATGGACCTAATAAACCTCCATACCAATTTGGGTGAAGATCCATTCACACCCTGCGAACTAGTTACATGGCCATACAACAGACAGTACTATTATATTTATATAGATTATACAGTAAGCTCCCATCACAAATGATTAATGATATAATAAGCTCTATTGACTAGGAATTAATGATATAGGTTCTAATATAAGAACTAATGGTATAGTAGTAAACTTTTATAATAATAATCTCCATTTATTATGAGTTAATGATAAGGTAAGCTATCCTTACCGGAATTTAATGACACGGTAAACATATATAATTCGGAATCAGCATATTATGAAATTATAACAATCACTAAGTGTTTAAAAAATTGCAAAAATGAAAAAAAGATCCCATTTTTGATAAAGTTGCTTAAATTACTTGAAATACTTTTCGCCTAATAAGATACTTAGTGATTCATGTATAATTGGGGTTTGCTTATAATTAATCAAGATCTATAGATTTTAGTTAATAAAGATAAATATTGTTATAGTGAAACAACAACAAAGTAAAACTCTAAGTCGAATGTTTTATAGCGATTTCACAGTATATACATGTATTAGTTTTCAAGCCATGAAGTCAAATTGGAAAACAACCCAATAATGTGAACAAAACTCATATTAAGTCTACATTCTCTACATCATACAGAACCGGAATTATGAGTACTTCGTCTTATACTACTGATATATTTTTTCTATCTTCTAATGAAATTTCCAGTATCACTATTTCATTTACGTTTCTGTATTACAATGTTTTCTTAATTAGAGGTTCCTGTGAATTTTCTATAGAAAATATTCACTTTTCTCAGTCGTTTCTCTAATTGATAATTTACCTGAGCTTTTATTATTCAACTACGAGTTTTATAATATCATTTTAGTTAACTGCCTTTTCTAATATTCATTCGTTTCAAACGTCTTGAGATATCTTTTTCTGATTATAGTCATTCGCTCGCCCACATCATTACCTGTTCTCGATTGATTAGCTTATATTTTATATCCATCAACCCCTAATTTCATCAGTCGGTTCAAATGCAGATCTTGAATAAAATCGCCCCCTAGAAAAATTCCCCCTTTCATCCAGCTTTCAAAGTGGAAATATTTAAATAAACTTAAATTTAAAAAGTTTTAACTATTAACTCTTCTATTTGCGTTTCTGCTGCTGATTAGCTCTAATTAAGCCGCAATGGCGAAACGTTGGCTGAAGTATGAAAAAATATATTTAGTTATAACTTTTGTTTTGATTTCGGTTTACACTATTTGTTTCTTGCATTTGTTTCAGTCTATTTAAATTTACGTTAAGCTGATCGGCTGGTTGCTAGATACCACTTGACTGCGTGTTTTATCGTAAGATAACCTTGACCTGATTCAGTAGATACCTTTCATAGTTACTCGGCTTTTTCGTTTCTTTTATAAAATCACCGTCGACCTATATGCACGTAGGTTACAGTTTAAAGTTGAAGAGGTCAAATATTAAGAAAGGAAATAGTGCTAATTTAGTATCATTGATACGAAGAATGTAAATATAGATATATAACACGGTTGCGCTATATAGAATCGCATCTGTTGATGTCGAGCGTGCACGAATTAAAACAATAATGCCTTAAGTAGCACAATGTATCGTCAGGAGCCGTTTTGTGACGGTCGTGCACACATACTGAGTTATGTAAGTGGAAAGAGCCAACGGGAAGCAGTTTAGATATTACGTCATCGTAAGAGCATCTTTAAGATGGGCAACTACTACGATCTACTAAACATATCACTGTGATCTTGAAAATACAAGTTGGGTGGTACCTTTGAACATAATGTGCGTTCTTGTTTATAAGTTTCAGTTTGTAAAGACCATGAGTTTATATTTTACAAAAGACGAGTTTTAACTATTAACTCTTCCATTTGCGCTTCTGTTGCAGAAAGCACCTTGAATCAAAGTTGTCTTGGAAAAAAATAACATAAAAACCGACGCAGATATCCTTGTTGTCAAAGAGAACATGGATTTTCCAAATCCCAATATGTCCTTATATGTCCCAGAACATTCAGATGTTTTTGAAATGTTCAGAAATGTCACAGATATTCTGCTGAAAAATTCGAGCTTCGAGCGAGATGAAAATGATTTTGAGTACTTCTACTTCTATCGGGTAAGTTAAAACACCATCATCGAGACTTTTCTTTCTTAAACCCGCTATAGTTTGGTAATAGATTTGAATTTGAATATAATTAAAAAAAATCTAGTTTATCGAAAGCTATATGACTATTATGGTCATGTGTGTAAGATCATATACAGTGAATTGTATTCCTAAAACACCAATGTTGCTAATGGATCTGTCGCTTTTATATTGCTAAATATGCATGCCTAAAATCAGTGTTGAATTCAGGGAGCTTATATGGGGAAATTCCCCCTTGAAGTACAGTATTTTCCATTTTGTGGAATTTTAATATCAATTCATTCCACCCAACTTCACCCCACACCCCGATGGAAATGTATGGATTCAACACTGGCTTAAAATATTTCTATATATTAATATATAATGGTTAACAATAATAGTTCTGGGTTGTAATAGATTGCTGTTATTGAGAAAAATTGTACTCATTGTGTATATCTATACTTTAAACATTAAGTAGAAAGTTTGAATAACCAAAATTAACACGTTAATGTAGTCCATGATATTTCGTAATGTTTAAGTTTACTTTCATACTAGCGTGACAACACTTTATGATTTCTATTTTTTGTTTTGTGTCAAAACTTAACACTTTCAGAAAATGGCCTTAACAGATTTTATCACTTTACATAAGGTTTTAATATCAAACTAAAACCGCATTTACACTGGAACTTTGTACAAAGAAGAGTAACGTTTATCTTTTAAATTTTGTCTAAATGACACACTCTATAATTCATTTTAGCCTAAATGACTCGCTATATAACTCATTTTAGCCTAAATGACTCACCTTATAACTCATTTTAGCCTAATGACTCACCCTATAACTCATTTTAGCCTAATGGATCACTCTAAAACTCATCTATGCGTAATCATATACTAGAAATTAATATTTCTTTATTAAACGTCATGCTATAAAACATACACGAGGAAATGAAAATTATGTTAACGTACACGTGAAGGCTTTTCGTTGACTATCATTTTAACAGGCAGGATAATGTTTCGAAACGAAGTCAAACGTAACTGTTTTTGTAGAATATCTTCTAAACAATATTGATATTCTATTTTTAATGTTTCCCGTTAGTAGAGAAAATAATTGCAAATTTTTTGTTTATATAAAAAGAAAGTTAAACGAAGCAGTAAATTTCTAGCATGAAAGACTTCTTTCGCGAGCGTGATTAATGTGCAAGGATTTATCCATTTCTTATCATAACAAGAGATACTTCACACTTTAACTATAGCAAAAACAACAACGAATCGTCACTTAGTCTAAGATGATTATGACGCTTATAAGAGTTCTATAACCTACTCAAACCGCCCCCCAGTGGCACAGCGGCATGTCTGCGGACTTACAATGCTAGAAACCGGGTTTCGATATTCGTAGTGGGCAAAGCACAGATAGCCCATTGTGTAGCTATATGCATAACTTAAACAAACAACTATTCAAACCATATAATGTTTGCTGCATAAATGTTCTCATACGGAATTTTTAAGATTTAATAAATAATATTATAGGATGAGTAAAACCAACTCGTTGGAAAATCAAAACAAAATCTCGTAAACACGCTTTCTTTATTGCAAGTAGGTCGATATCAATGTCTCCAACTGTTGATTTGAAGAAAGCGTTATGTTTTGTTTCTATAAGACTTTCCATCTGTTTTTTTATTTATAACTTCTGAAGAGAAATCATCTCGTGGTGTATGTGTTGGCAATGAATCAACTGTAAGAAAACTCTCATTATTGATGATGTATAAAAAAAAAGATATGGCATTATTGTTAACAGCATGATCAAGTTTTTGTTTGATTATTATTGACATCTTCATCCTATGGGACATCGGTAAGTTTTACAGTGCTAAAATCTGGGGCTCGATTCCTCGCGGTAGACACAACAGATAGTCCAATGTGGCTTTGTTCTAAAAGGACGTAAACAAACACCTAGATTTAATTCACTAATGTTGTCGTCTTAAGTAAATCTAATTACATTCTAAAATTAGACAGTATTTTGAATAATCGTAGTAAATTAAAAAACAACAACAGCTAACAAACTGGAATGTGAGCCTACCAAAACCAGACAAAGTAGTGTAGCTTTGAGTTTAAACCAAAAACAAATATAATTACACATTGAAGTTGTCGGGTAGGCAAAATCCCAAATTAATGCTGTAAAATATGTCCTTTTGCAAAACATTACTGCTCACCATCGCGCCGGAGGACCAAGGTTTGATTTAAATCGGCTTAGTTTTAAGCTATTACATAGAATTATTCATACTGATCACTATTTTACTTTTTTAGTTGCAGTCACATTTGTTTTGCATTATCTTTTTCAAAATACATCGACCAGCATGAATGTCTCTATCACTTTGTAAAGTTCTTCGTAAAGGACGCCTTTTCTCTTTTGGCCAATCTCGCAGCAAGCTTTTCCTGAATATTATCAACAGAGAAACAGTTTAACAACTGATAGGCCGTTAAAGTAAACTGGTAGCTTCTTGCTGGTGGCACCATGAATTTACAAGTTATTTTATTACAGAAGAGTAGCTGGCGAAGATAACACAAGTATCTGTTGGTCGTGCAATAAATGTTTTTCTAACTATCAGTCAGAATTGGGTATTAGACTTGATCGGAGCTGGGGTAACCAAGGAGACTTGAAACAATGTTTCATGGAGACCACTTTCGAATTTTCTTTTAGGCAAAATAAAGGGTACTTGCATGAAAGGCAAGTCTTAAAAAATGATGCATCGAGTGTCAAGATGCTAATCGTAAAACATGAAATGTTGTATGAAAAAACTGATCATGACAGTCTTTGTTAAATTCTTCAAAAATTTTGATGGGTACTTTGGAAGTTTCTTTATGTAAAAGAAGTGTACCATGTATAATATGCAAGTCTAAAAAATAACATATATAGAAATTAACCATAAAACGTGCAGCTTTCCTAGTTTAAATATGATGTATGACAAAAAGCTGAGTTAAATTATTCAAACATTTCAAAGGCTGTACTAAGGCAGACTAAATTAGGATAAATTTCTACTTTACGAACAAACCCTCCATAATAATAATAAATCAGATTATATAAGAGACCTTCCTTGGCTTACGTTGTAAAAACCGTTTTTAACCTACTTCACATTTCTTGATTTTGGAACAGTTTCATTTTTAGGTTGAGCTTCATTATTATTCTCTTCTATATTTTTATTGTTGGTTGTTTTATTATTTAGAACTGACTACTGGGATGTACTATTTTCTCGTTTGAGATTTTACATGTGGAAAAGGATAAACTATCAGAAGTAGCTCACGTAATGAAACCGAATTAACTTCTCGGAATTATCTGTTGGTTGAGTGAGTACCAGAATCCAGTTCACGACGTGATCGTACTTGATGACTGGAGGTTGACAGCTCCACTTTGAGAAGAATTTTGTGTCGCTGCTTTTCTATCTCGCACTTCAATCTTCTGATATAATTTAAGAAACATCAAATAAAGTATCGGTCCGCCTATCTCTTTATGAAACATCCTAACTGGGACAATTTGTGTCACCACTCATATCATTAGTATATAGAATAATCTATGTTTCATTTCTTACGTCTTCTAAGTGTAGATCTATTATTCGATTCCTCTGGTTTTGAATAATTACATTGTCAGACTGGTCTGGATAGTAGATATTATGTTATCAGTTTATTATCTTAGTTAATCTAGCCTTTGCCAGCCGTGTTTCGTCCCATAGAATTGATTCAAATGCACTTTCAAAAGTGTTATTCCAAGTGTTGTGTCAAGATGAGTTATCGTATGCACTTTATCTTTGTACGTAATACACTAACTAATAGCTCCCGTGTATCAAATGAGTTTTATTATTGCACAATATATTTATAATTTCATATTTTCCTGTAAAAGTTAAATGGTAAAACTGACTCTGATAAAATATTCTTGAAACCATTATGGTAGTTTACAGTTTAGTTTGTGCATGGTCTCGTGCTTTTTTAGTTGAGTTCAGGTGTGATAATCAAAACTATGTACATAAAATAAATACACAATTATGTATACGTATACACACATAGACTAATTATGTGTCGTAAACTATGAAAATCAGGTCTAAAGAAATAAAACACAAGGTACAACACAAACAATAACGCCAAGTTACAAATTATTGTGTTGAGGATTATAACATGTATCTAGAGTAGTAAGGTATCTACAGAAATACGACTTATAAAATGGTGAGAATACAACCTTTTTCGGGTTTAACTTCATTTCGTGTGCCTCATCTGTTGGAAAAAAAAATCTGTCGAGGCCTGGCATGGGCAGGTGGTTAGGGCGTTTGACTAGCATTCTGAAGGTCGCGAGTTTGAATCTCCGTCCATCAAACACGCTCACCCTTTCAGCCGTGAGGGCGTTATGTAGTGACGGTCAATCCCACTACTCGTTGATAAAATAATAGCTCAAGAGTTGGCGGTGGGCGGTGATGACTATTTGCCTTTTTTTAAAATCTTTCACTGCGAAATTTGGGACGGCTAGCGCAGATAACCCTCGTGTAGCTTTGCGCGAAATTTAAACAAACCAAATTCAAACTGTCTTTCACACTCTACAGCTATTAATGTGAAGGTGGCTACTTGGAAAGAATGAAAAATTAAAAAAAACGAAGAAAAATATAAAAATAAGGTATGACCTATAACACGGTAGGAATACAACGTCCTTCAGGGTTAACTCCACTTCTCATGTTGAAAAAACAAGGCAGGTCCCAATATGGTCAAAACGTTATTCAATCTTTAGCAACTAATTAACCATCGATGTTAAAATAATTGTATTATACCAGAAATATAGTATTCCCAGGCAAAGTTCTCAATAGTGTTATTACATCCTCTAGCCTGGAGGCCTACCGTTATTTGACACCGCTCTCCGAACTGTTTAATACTTACATAAGCCGTTGTAAGATACGTATGCAAACTGATAAAGGGCGTCGAATTAACACAATGAGCTTAATACATCAATATAACAAAAAATT